CTAGAGCCGTTCTGTGTGAGGGGCTGGATTTGGAGGATCTCTGACTTATTGTCCATCTTGGAATACATGAAGGGAGGGTTGGAGAGGTAATTTGGGATGATTGGTAACTCAGGCTCCTTCACCTCAGGCACTTCCTCCACCTCAACTATGGAAGTGCACAGACAATCATTATTTATTAAAGGGTTGGCATAATGACAAAGATGATACTTTAATAGACATATTTATTCAAATAATGGCATGGGGTTTAACTGAACATAGCAAAACTGGAACATGATAAGAGCAAGAAGAACATAAAAAAAGATATAACCTCCCAAGAGTCTCTTGATCTCTGGTTTAGATGTAAGCTGAGAGGCGAGCTCCTCTTTAGCCGTGAGGATTTCTTTGTCCGCTCCACAACTGAGTAAGTAGGACACGATGTGCTTATGGTTCCTCTTGCAAGCCCAGTGCAGGCATGTCCTGGTGGAAGAAATCGAAAAGCAAAACTGCTTATTCCATCCGTTCATGCTCGGCAGCTTCCTTGTTAAACAATCTAAGAAAAATATGTCTACATTTATCATTTAAAAACAAACAGGCTGCTGTTAGACCATGAAACCTGAAAATCTAATATATCCAGATGGTGCAGTGTAGACGAGCTATCTCTAAACTGAAACTAAAAGTGTCACGTTTAATTAAACAACAACAAAAAAAAGCTCGCATTGTAATGCCAACCATTCTTTCCCATCTGGAAAGAATTCATTAACTCGAGGTATTTTTAGCATTATGCTATACAAAAATCTAAGATAAATATTATACATTTTCTTTCAAGTAAAATTTCCTAATCCTTTGGGATTATTGGTAAACATTGTGTAGTTTACCAGAGGTGTTTGAGAACGCTCTATAATTTGATCACTTATATTGTAACACAATAATGGGAGCCACATCTTTGGTAAACTTTTTGTTTTGCACAATAAGTTGTTTCATTTAGAATTTGGTCATCAGAACCTTTTTTTTAACGCCACTCAAAGTTCATCACGATTTTTGTTGTCTATATAACATTTATATTCACCAGTCTCATCACTTGTTTCATGCAAAATGTTGTTCAGATTAATAGTAATGCATGCAATCACATCAAGCAAGTAAAAACAAAAACATTTCTCCATCCAGAGTTTCAAACAAGGCTTCATTTCATTAATTAAACAATTGCATTTTTTTTTTTTTTCCATTTGATGTCAGGGACCTGGAAAAAAATTATGTTAAATCATACTCGCTGTTTTAAAATCTCGCAAGATTTTAAAACATAGGTTAAGAACATGTATTTTGAGCTAGACAACCAACAGTCGACCAGTTTATTTATTTAGACTTCAGATTTATGGACATTTACATTTTCTTAAAAATACTGCTTAATTTTATTCTTTACATCTAATTCTTTAAATGTGCAACCGAGTCTGCTTAATGTATTTTAGTATCAACAGGTGCACCTCAATAAATGAGCATATCACCTAACAGGTTATGATTTTATAAATGATAACATAGTTTTATATTTCAACAATTAATGATTATGATTTACAGTTAATGGGAACCTGTAATACAGCTTCTCAGACAATTGGGACAATTCAGAGGATCAAGTAAAAATAAATAAATCAATAAATAAAACTTAACAAAGAAATGCTAATGTTATGGCCACACTCTTGGCTATTGACTGCTGTCACAAAGGTTCACTCCTGGTAGTAGTGTGATAAAAAAGGTGCACAAACGGGGATATTCGAGGGTTTAGGGGGAGATTTACAAGACTTGCACTGCTGCAGGGGTTTCAAGAACCACCACACACAGACGTATCCAGGATACGAGCTTCAGCTGTGGCATCCCTTGCGTCAAGTCTCTCACACACACACACACACACACACACATGTCTTATCAGGACTAAAGAGCTGTAATTTACTGTAGCTAATAAATTTTAATCTACCCTGATTAAGGTGCAGTGTGAATTATGTAAGTGTGAGAGGTCACCACAATACCCACTGTTAAATAGATACAAATCTGTAGTACATGAGAACATTGTCCTACATGTTTCAAAAATGTCCTCCCTGAGACACTCCCACATGTGCCAGCTTGGTAACTAAAAAGTTACTGCGAACACTGCTTATGTAATTGTCTGATTATATGAGAAAGTAACTTCTACGTTTCTATTATCTGTAATCTATAACAACTGCAATTAAAAGAAAAACAAATGCTAGCAATAGAATTCTAATAAATATTTTAAATGAATTTGAACATTTTTCATTTTAATTGCTGAAATAAAATTTGAAATCTAATTTATTGAAATGCACCTGATACCATATTCGATCCAGAGTCTTTATAGAATGGGTGTCCACCTCCAGCTCTCAAGGACCAGTTTAACATGCGGCTCTCCATTAACTCAATCTCAACATGTCAAAGTTCTGCAGAGGCCTGGTAATGAGCCATTTTTTTTTTTTTTGATTCAGGTGGGTTGAACCAGAGAGAAAACATAAATGACACCAGCCCCACTTGAACATGCTATCCTTTTGGATCCGTTGTGATAGTTTTACTGTAGAAAATAATATATTTGAAGTCATGCATCCTTATAAAAGCAACACTGGGATCCAGAGTGATAAAGGGCATTTCGACAGACTCGGAGCTCTACGGGTCGGAGAAGCAAAAGGGGCAAGGCTGACTGGTTAACAGGCTTAGTGTCGCCTAATAGGATAACGCTGACCATTTTTATCCCTACAACGACGCACTTGGCTCAGTGACTCCTACGAGGGTTTCAATTGGTGAAGCTAAGCACAAAAAAAGTCAGTCACAAACTGTGGTAATTTACTAGAAACACTTACCACCCGTTGATCTCGTTCTGTGAATTAACATTCACCCCGCTCTCCACCAGCGACCGCACTTCATCGATATCCCCGATGGCAGACGCTTCTCTCAGTCGCTCCTGTAATTCTTTATCCAACGAAGTCGTGGACATTTTGGCACAAACAGCTAGCGGAGTGAGACCATAGGACGGCAAAAGTGGCTCGCCAATAATATGGTCTTACACTGTGTTCGCTAGTAATGTCCGCACAGGTCCCGCTGAGAGACTGGTCAGCTAACCGGCTAACCTTACCTACTAATGGCTAGCTTGACAGGGGATGCTAGCTTGTGACAACAAATAGCTTCGGCTAACGTAACTTCGTTTTGAAGAGTACTCCAAATCCTCAGACTGGAGTTAAACACTCAACATTCAAATATGGTGTTAGTTCATGTCATACTACCAATGACTATACCCAGCCCGGGTCATTCAGACAGTAGTGACGGTGTCCTGTCAGTCTCAAACACCCACCGCCTGTTCGTCGAGTCGGAGGGGTTAGGATGTGACAACATTATGCACCCAGGTATTTGGTTCCACTTTCTCATATTTTAGCTCAATATACTGTTGTTACATTAATCTTTATTGATATTTTTCACAACTTTGTCTGGTTAACAAATAAATCCGATCTTTAAAAAAAAACAAAAAACAAAAAAAAAACGAGTTAAATTAGCCTATTAAAACTACACGTGTATATGTATCTTTTTAATGCATTATTTATATATATAAAAAAACTGTGAATTATTTTTAAACGAATGCCTACAGCATTCACACTAATAAAACACATATAAATAAACATTACGAATTATTGTAATGTTTATTACAATCTAATATAGGTAAATGACTATTGCATCTCCAAAATGTGACCACTAGAGGGAAATAAATATCCACATGCCAGGGCAGCCGCTACCCTAGATCTGATATAACATAATCAGGTTTTGTTGTTGTTGTTGTTGTTCTTTGATAATTAGAAACAGTAAGAGACGATCATTCCTGTTCATTAGCATCTAGAATAACTATGAAAAGCCTTGCATAAGCTACATTTAATTTTCCTATGAGATCAATAAAGTGTGATTGACAGTCAACCAATTACTATCAATTTTCCAGGGCACAAACTTAAAAATGTAGGCTATGTATTGTGATGATAAACTTAGTAGAGGCAATATGAAATGTAAAAAATGCTAACCTTTTTGAAGGTGCACTAAAGAGTAAACACTAACTACCAAATACTCAAGCTAACCAGTCAAGGCCATAATTTTGATATAGAATAGATAAAGAAGGGTATAATTTGATCATTTACTTTACAAACGAAACCCTTATTTTAAGGCGAAACTGACCCAAAGTCATGCCACAGCAATTAATTAAGATTTAAGTCTGAACTTTGACAAGGTCATTTTAAAAATGTTTTAAAGTCTTTTCATATTTGTCCTAACATGAACACAAAGTTAATAAATGAACTATATGTTCTTTAAGTTCTAAATGAGTCATTGAATTGAAATGTTTGTAGATTCCAAAGCCCTGTAACATTTTAGAGTCTGATATGTCACTGAATTTTTTCCTCATCTCTTCCGCAGTTTTGTTTGCCAATATAATGTTGCTTTTTGATATATTTTAGCCTATTTTATGTTTTCAGAAAGGTTTTATGATCTCTTGATTGATTCTACAAATCAGACAGTATTCAGGTTCAGTCAGTTCCATTCATGCTGTAAACAGCTTACCTTATTTGGTTCATTGTTGACGTTGAAGCAAGCAAGTGGTAAGCTGTGTTGTCTGACTTGAAGTTTCAAAATTACATTTTGTGTGTACTCTTGTCATGGTTTTATATGCTCTGAAACATTAAGTATAAAAGCAATAATAATCATAGAAGAAAAAATCTGTAAGATGCAAAATAAATAAATAAATAAATAAATAATTGCACAGTTTATAAGACATTTGCTCACAACAGTGGGACCATGCGTGGGACTTCACTGAACTCTGCATCCGTTTTTGCATCCGGTTCAGACTGACCTTTTCATAGACAAGCCGTGAGCGGGCGTTGTTGCTTGCTACAGCGTCTGCCATTTTGGTTAGAAATACTTAGCGTTGTATTTGGAATAAATAGGCTCCTCGGGATACACAGCGGTACTCCAGAAGAAGGCACCGCAGTTCTATCAAAATGCTGTCTGCAGCCCAGTTACTCGATGAGTTAATGGGCAGAGACAGAAACTTGGCCCCTGATGAGAAGCGCTCCAACGTGCGATGGGATGACGAGAGCGTAAGTTAGCATGTAGCTAACCTTAGCTTCGAAAATGTGATGAGCTAACATTTTTTTAGGCAATGCGTGATGTCTAGCATCATGTCTTATATGGTTTGGGACTCGACTGGCTTCTTCATCTGGGATTTTCGCTTTAAGTTTAATTTAAAACGTTTTTTTCTAATTAGGTCTTAGGAGACACTGCGGTATAGGTACGCATGTTAGCGGTATTAACGTGAAATTGCTAACGGTTTAAGCTAGGCTAGGCCAGTGGATCACAATGAAGGATGGCAACGCTCTCGTTAAAACAAGGTTTTTAAAGCCTCAAGACACCCGAGAGATACTTTTAGATGTGTCATAATCAAGTTTTGTCAGATTAGACACTTTTCTCAAATATGTGCACTTCGAATAAGTAACTTTAAGTCTTATGTCTTGAAAGAAATTTCTGAGTGTTAAGATCACGTGTGGGTTTAAAATGAGAGCTACCGCTAAAGTTTGTTGGTAGTTTGTTTCCCTCGTTTTACACTGAAACCAGTGAGAAGTTGTTATCCAAGTCACAGAAAATGTTTGGTATGTTGCTCTAAAACCTCAAACAAAAATCTGTTTAGTTTTTCAGATGTTAAAATGAGCTGGCTTGTTACGGTGTTTTATTCAAATAACCAAATTAGTTATATGTTTTATAAAAAATATATATATATATTATAAAAAAAAAAAATCAGTGACTGAGATTGTTATGCCAGGAAATAAAAAGAATATATGTTTTTTTTTTTTTTTAAATTCGGATTTGTTTTTGCTACATGGATATTTCACATCTCTAAATTATAGATGTAGTTTATTTGAAAATAATAAATCTACACTTCAAGCTAATTTTGGCACATTAGTGTTGCATCACTTTAATTAAAAATGGATAACGAATCATTTTATACATTTTGTATTTTAAAGAAGCCAAATAAAGTTGCATTTTTAAGGCAGTGGTGCGGGTTTTAGCATAATCAAGCAATTTGAGCAAAATGGGAAGACGCAGACTAGTTCCTTTTCCGACCTAAAGAATCTGCTGATTCTTATTTTCTTTAATATGGTCAGAGGGAAATATTGTATTATTGTTGGTGACATTTGATGCAAAAACACTGACATCTGAATTGCTTTGGAGTAAAGTTGACTTTATTTTTGTTTGTGTATTGAATTATACTAATCAAAAGTGTGCACTTCTCCTTCCGTGTGCTTGCACTGATTATGCTTAAGAGATGTCCGAAATAGTTTTCGACTTGAATGAATGAAAACCTCGATTTTCAGAGTTTTACAATTCTTCATGAATAGTCCTTAGAATATAAACTTAAGGGGGGGAAAAAAAAAAAAGTTTTATATTTCTGTTTTTCTCTTTAGGTTTGTCGATACTATCTGTGTGGCTTCTGCCCAGCGGAGCTGTTCACAAACACACGCTCTGACTTGGGTAAGTGCCTAAAGAAAGAATAATAATAATTGAATACTGTAATAATGTAGTGTAATGAGGCATTTCTGTTTTGTTCCAGGTCCTTGTGAGAAAATCCATGATGAAAATCTAAGGAAACTGTAAGTTCTGCTGAAGATTTTAGTGTTTTTTATTTATTTATTTTTTCCAGTTGGGTGTTTTGACCTGACAAACTTCTTTCTTGCCACAGGTACGAGAAAAGCTCTCGGTTTATGAAAGAAGGCTACGAGCGAGAATTCCTGCGGTATCTGCAGTCTCTCCTGGCGGAAGTGGAGCGGCGGATTCGTAGAGGACATGCTCGACTTGCGCTCTCCCAAGCTCAGCAAAATGCAGGGGTTTGTAATTTTATCATAATTTTTTTTTTTTCACACAAATATGCAGTTTTACCTATTGTGAAAAAAAAAAAAAACACAGGAAAACAAATTCACTGTTTGCATGAGATATTGCGGTTTTATTCCCTCAGGGCCCGGGTCCATCTGGAAAGAATGAAGAGAAAGTTAAAGTTCTGACAGAGAAGATAGAAGACCTGGTTTTACAGGTTTGCAACTAATTTGTTGATAAAATTGAATTGTAATAGATTACCAAGATTTCCTGTTTTCTCAGCTAATAAACTGCAACATGGGTTTTCTCTTCCTCAGATTGAGGAACTGGGGTCGGAGGGCCGTGTGGAGGAGGCTCAGGGAATGATGAAGCTGGTGGAGCAGCTGAAGGAGGAGAGGGAGATGCTGAGCTCCACCCCCTCGGTGAGTCAGCTAACGCCGGCTAATCGGCCTACCGATGCAGCTCAAGATAGTAGGTGTTGCTTGTGTAACACCGTTTGTTTCCAAACAAGAGTTTATCCTACGATGTGCTGAAATACATCAATCCAAAACGAATTACGTTTTTATTAATTATGGGGTGAAACTAATATTTTGCTTTTTTTCTTTTCTTTTTTTAAGACTATTGAGAGCTTTGCTGCTCAGGAGAAACAGATGGAGGTGTGTGAGGTGTGTGGGGCCTTCCTCATCGTGGGTGACGCACAGTCCCGGGTGGATGATCACTTAATGGGCAAACAACACATGGGCTATGCTAAGATAAAGTCTACTGTAGAGGAGCTTAAGGTAACATTATGAAATGCCTAAGAGAAGTAATTTGGATGCTTTTGGTTTCGACTTTCACCCAGTTGGGAATTGTGTCCTCAGGAAAAACTCCGACGTCGCTCTGAGGACCCTCCAGGCGAGAGCCCCACTGTCAAACGGGACCGAGAAGAGCGAGAGCGCGAGAGGGAGGAGCGGGAGAAGAAGCGCAAAGAGGAGGAAGAGAAGGAGAAGGAGCGGGAAAAGGAGAAGGAACGGGAGAAGGAGAGAGAGCGGGAGCGCGAGAGGGAGCGAGACAGGGAAAGGGAGCGAGAGCGGGACCGCGACAGACGGGCCAGGCGAAGCCACTCCAACAGCCGCCACTCCAGCCGAACGTCGGAGAAGAGGCGCAGCAGATCCCGCGACCGCCGGCGGTCTAGAAGCCGAGACCGGGACAGGGAACGGAAGCGCAGCAGGTATTGTCGATTATTATGCTTTTTTTTTCTTCTTCTTCTTTTTCTCTATATCTACAATCAGCTAAGAAATGGGATTAACATTTTCAGTTGGATGAATTATTTCACTCTTATAAAAAGATATTTAGCATCATGAAAAGGATTTTAGAACAATACTTTTGACCGTTTCCCCCCAACAACAGACTTTAAACTATAATAAAATTAGAATTTACAGAAAATCCGAAAACTGGCGTGACGAAATCGGTTAACGTTTGCCATCTCAAAGCAAGAACATTGTAGGAAGACTTGCTTACATTACGTGCTTCGATATGTCTCACTTCAAATTGAGTGTGTAAAAATCAGTTTTTCTTCAACTCGTTCTCCCTCTTTCTTCAGGAGTCGTGACAGAGAGAGGAGGCGCAGTCGCGAGCGATCCGACAGAAAACGTCGCTCCCGCAGCCGCGACAGGAGGAGGTCGCGTAGCTCAGAGCGCAAGTCCCACCGCCATCGCAGCCGGAGCCGCAGCAAGGACAGAGACAGAGAAAGAGACAAGGACAAGGATAGAGACAGAAACAGAGACAAAGGAAGGGACAAAGACAAAGAGCGGTCATCAAAAGAAAAAGGTAGGAACCTGTTTTCCTCAGCTCAAAAAGCACCAGACTGAAGATTTTTGTCATCCAGTTCTTGGTAGAAAGAGAAAAACGATAAATCCTGCAAACGGAAATAATTGAGCTAGTTTTAATCCATCATGCAATTAAACATCTGTAAAGATCAAAAATGGCTTATTGGAGTCTGAGCTTGTGCTAATTCCCCCAGAAGAATAATTAAACTTATGGAAGAGATAGAAAGCTGGTAGAGACTTAAGCCCAGTGGTAATAAAAATCCTACTTTTCAGGTTTACATTTGTGAGCAAAAAAAAAAAAGTATATATATTTTCACTTCTACTTGTGCGTTATGTTCTACTTTGTTTTGGCCTGAATAACAGGCTTTTTCAGCGAGTTATTTTCAGACTGTAATAATCGGTCAACCGCTGAATGCCTGTACCGTTTTGTCAGACCGTAAGGCGACAGAGGAGAAGAGCAGCTCTAAGAAAGAAAGCGACGCGGCCACCGTTAAGGCTTCGTCGGAGCCGGAACCGATGCAGACCGAGGCTGCCGCCTCCTCCTCCCCCCCTCTGCTTAACGGCCAGCAAGAGCTCCTCCAATCTGAAGGTGACACTCAGTCCAATTAAAACTGATCTGATAGGACCTCAGATCAGGCTCAGGTAAGTGCGTCCTCCTCTTCACTCCCCCTGGCTCTCGACCTTCCCTCTCACACTCTCTCCCCTTTCCTTCAGTCCTCCTACCTCCCCTCCACCCCTCCCTCTCTGCCCCTTCCATTTCCCACGCTGTTTATGTTCAGTTCAATGCCTATGATTTTTTTTTCCTTTCCTTTTTTTTTTTTTTTTGTCGTATGTACTATATGCAAATATCTTTATCCTGTTTTTGATTAGTGCATCGTAAGTATGCACTGAAGATGAAGGACTAGGCCCGATGAATGAGAAGAAAGTAGAAAACATTCACACAAAGCCAAGAGGGAAAGGCCAGTGTAGCCCTGAGCAAACATGCCCAGAGGTACCCCTCGTTTTGTATCGGTTTTTGATCCTTGCAGATGTTTAATTTCACTCTGTGGAAGAAATGACAGATCCAGTCAAATTTCTCTAGCTGTATATACATGTTTTTACCTTTTTTTTATTATTATTATTATTATTATTACTTTTCATTACATTTTTTTCTTACTCTGAAACAGGAAAACGTAGTAATTGCTGTTTTGTCCATTCAGGGAGGAAATTAAGTGGCTGTGTTTCCTACATGTTCAGATTTTACCTTTGGGAGTTTGCCCATTTTCCAGCTTACTGTGCCTGATAATGCCATGCACTGTGTTTTTTTTTTTTTTTTTTTTTTTTTGGGGGGGTGGGGGGGGGGGGAATAGCCTCTGGGGGGGGGGTCTTAACAACACTAACTGGAGGTGTAGGGTTTATCGGATGAATTGCAGCTGACTTCTATACCTCACACAGCGTTGGTGTTGTGAGCGAGACCCACATGAGAAAAAGGGCAAATTAAAAATCTTGGATACTCTCTGACTGTCAAACTGTGCAGGTACTCACCCCAGGTACTCCTTTCTCTACCCACATCCATTTCTGAATGCTGTTGCCTGTCTATAAAAAAAAAAAAAAAAAAACAACAACAACTAGCTACTTCTTTTAGAACATGTATCCATCGTGTGTATATTTTTAATTGTCTGATTTGCTGCTGTATTTGGTAACACGTTGGGGGAAGAAGAGTTATTTGAATGAATAATCTGAGACGACCTTCATGTCCTTTTGCCATTGGCTGAAATTGCCACAGACGTGTCCGCAGTATTATTATTATTATGCTCAAATTCTCCAACATGTCAGGCGTATTTCCACTTTGGCGAAAGGAATATTATATAGGTTTGTCATTAAAATAATGCTAAGTTTTTATTAACGTAAAGCAGGTGAAATATACCAAAGTAGCCAAATGTATTCAAAACCTGCAGTGTTTATGCAAGAAATCTAAACTGTTATTTGGTTTATAGTTTAATGGGACCATCTTTTTTTTTCTTCTTTTTTTTTTTCCCCACCAAAAAAAACAAACAAAACAAATTACCATATTTGAGCAGCAGATAAACATTTGCCTGCGTAGCTTGTTGTCTTTGCTACAAGCCCATGTCGTGGGACCCTTGCTAACGTTGTTTGTTGTGGCCGTTTTGCTCTGCAGGGGAAGCTGGAATGTCTTGAGGAGGAAGAAACTGAAGAGCACGCCCACCTTTACCCTGAACCTGACTTCGCTGCTTACAAACAAGGTGAACCACAGATGTGTAGGGGGTTATTTAATAAATAACCATGAAATGATATATCTCAATGAGGAGAGAGGGTTAATACTTTGATTTTAGTTTTTTGTTTTGTTTAATTGGCTGGATAAAAGGCAGTTGTGGTTCATCTCGTATTCATCTGATTCACTGGTAATAGATGAAAGCCAGATATCACGTGGAAAGTGTAGAAAAAGTTCTTAATGGGCTTTTTTTTTTTGTTTTGTTTTGTTGAAAATCTTTACACGTCCTATGTTTCTTGGCATTTAGTGGAAATTGAATAAAAACAGTGCTCGTGGTTTGTACTCATTTTGTCAGGTTCTACTTCTGACCTCTTTTTTTTTATTTTTTTTTTTTAAAAAACCTCAATTAAAAGCGTATGTACAATGTAAGATCCTTGACAGGGAGTGTTTCTTTCCTCCTCCACTTTGAGCTCATGGCTATTGCTCTTGTCCCATAAATGTAAAATATTTTGATTTTAATTCTCATCTGAAGCTCTTCATTATTAAAGATTTGTTTAAATTTTGCCTTGCTTTTAATGTACATGTTGTCATGTTAAATTAAAAGGTAAAATCTCGTCTTGTTTTTTTTTTTTGGGAGGGAGATTTTTTTTCTTTGTGATGAGTTCTATATTTGATAGATGTTTTGAAATATGCTTGGTAAGACAGGAAAAGAATACAAATGTGGCGATACGCCAAGTGCATCCGGTACCACTACCAGCAGTAGCAGACCCAATTACTTGAAGGTGAAGAAGCTGATGAAGAAGACTGGTTCAAGAAATGAATGAGCATAATGGACAACTTTGGGCATCCTCTTTCAATAAAACGGTACGTTTCCAGTCAGAGGCTTCACCAGGGCCGCTGCAACACCGACTGCTACAGGAGGTCAATTTGCCCACTGCCATCACCATCCTTGAGGAACCTTGGATAACAGCTTTAATTTGTGGGTTTTATCTAGCAACAGTGATGCAAACCTCTATGTTTTAGTATAATGTGGTATCGTATGTAAACATACAACTTAGGCTATCCTAAAAACTCGAGATCAATCTGATTTTCAGCAAGATAAAAATCCTCAGCAGGCAACCAGGATGGTTTAATTTTGGAAAATGTGTGCATTTCTTTACACCGTTAACCATATAGACTAGTCTTTCCACTAATTTCAGCATTCTGGTTTATGTTGTGATTAATTACAATCATTTCTGAAAATATTTGAATTCAGGAGTGACTAGTAGAACAGACCACAAACCCAGCTGTCATGACTTCTTCAAAAATGATGGCCATAATTAAAGTTCAATCTGACATTCATCCTGTTCCAAAACAGGCATTAAACAGATAACCAAGTTTTTTTTGTCTCTTAATGGCTCATTCCAGACAATGCTGAGCATATATTTTGTTAAGCCTAACTAAGGTAAATGTGTAAAACCACTTGCAGAGAGCTCTCTTTATTTTTAATAGAAAGCGAAATTTCTCTTTGATTTTAGAGGCTCCAGGCAGTTGGTCAGACAACCCCTAGAAACGGCATTATCCTCTATGAAGCACAGTCCTGCTATTGGAATGGCTCATACTCGTATTGGGCATATTTGACATACACTCGGAGTCATGAATCGTAATACATCCACATTCTTAAATAGTTTATGCTCCCTCGTGCTGAAGAGGAAGTTCCTATGAAAAAAAAAAACCTTTAAGCATCACTGACCTACAGGCATGCGGTCAGCATTTTGGTTCCTTATTAACATTATGGCGTTTCGTCAATCTTCAGACCATAATGGAAAAATTCTCTGTTTCTGAGGCAAAAAACCAGAGATGCAGAGGAATGTCTGTGTGCTCCAATTGCTCTGGCATACCTGTTTATAAATCCCAGAGGTCAGTTCTCCCCTGGTAACGCAGGTTTGAAGCTGTTCACAGAAAGTGTTTAGAGAAACATTAGTTCTGACAATTTAAAGTATTTTTACAGTTTCTGCAGATGGGTATATATATATATATATTTTCCCACCCGTCTCCCTTTTTGGTCAGGCACTTAATGAAACGTATGACACATAATATATCGTGTGTGCTAAATTTTAAATATTGCATTCTTGAATTTTGGAGGTTTTGATGCGCTGCAATGAGGTTTTGCATCTCATATTTAAGAAACGTAAGGTGAATTTTATGCTCTTCGATTACTTAACAGTAGGGGGCGTTATGTACCTGTTTTTAATTGAGATTCCTCACCGAGCTGGCAGTAGCATCAGCCTCAGAAGTGTAGAGAAGGAATGTGTTTGTGTATGTGTTGTCTTTTATTTTGTGCATGTTCACACTGGAACTGAGAAAAAAAAAAAACCTTTGAGGATAGCAACTCCTTTCTACAGTCTCACACTCAGGCAACATTAATGTCCCGTTCTACAACACCCAGTCTGCACATGTCATTAGCAAAGCAGAATTTCCCCAGGGTGAGAGTTGCAGCTACAGGACAAAAAAAAAAAAAAAAAAAGAGAGAAAAGAGGATAGAAACAATAGGGAGATAGTAAGCTGGGGAGGCAGGAGAAACCAAAATGTGACAGAAAAAGAGAGCATGGAAAGAGAGAGTTTAATGGGATGCTAAAAAAAAAAAAAAAAACCCACCCAAAGAAGAATGCCTTTGGATTCTCTAGTGTGATGTTGCAGAGAAATGCAGTGACTCTCAAGCAAAGTTTAAAAGACGAGAGCAACACAGAGGTTATTCAGGAGAAGGGAACTCATCAGGACTTTTTAGCTCGCTGTCTGATTAATAACCAGAACGGTTTTACTTGCTAACAGCTTATGTCAGTTGCCACTCAGGTTGAGATGAGGCAGAATAATTTCTCTGTCATTTGAACTGAACTCAAGTGTCATGCCCCGAAAGCTGCTTGACCAATTTTTTTTTTTTTCTCTCTCTGTAGCCAAATCAGATGTTCAACGCCAGTTGTTTCTCACTATTCGCAAATGAATACAACCTAAAAACGGTTTTAATCTCTAAGGTGACAGATGTCAAAGGAAACATGACAAAACTGCAGAGCAGAAAATAGGCGTGTCCTTTTCATTAAAGTCTTAAACATCTGTGATTTACGGAAGAGCGACCAATGCATGAAAATATATACATTTTACAAATCACCACAGGAATGAAAATGAAAAACCTAACAGTAAACTTCTCCCAATACAAAGTTAACTACAGCTGGGAGATGTTTAGTTTTTTTTTGTTTTTTTTGTTTTGTTTTCTAAGCAGAGGTGGAAGAACCTTGGATATTTTGTTAATGTTTATAACTTTAGGGATTATAATAGACAGTGACTTCACCGCTGCAGAAAGTTGTGGAACCTGCACTTCACACCTCCCTTATTGTCGTCTCAGCAGATGGCGTCACCTCAAGAAGGAAGCCAGAATCAACGAGCTGTCTGTTTTTATTTCTCTCTCTCCCTCTCTTACTGACCATCTCCTCCTTTGTGCTATCTCTGTTTTGCTTGGCCCCGTCTTGTGTCCTGCAGTGTTAGCAGTTCTGGCTCTTGAAGAGCTGCCCAGAGTCAGGAATGCAGTCACTTTGAGAGTTCAGGCCTCCCAGCTGAGCTTTAAAACCCTGTCTGCGTGAACTGAAACGCGTTCTCTCTGCTCATCCTCTGAAATCGCCACCAGAAATAGTGGGGAGGAGGATTGAATGGTGTAAAGTAGTGGAAGAAAGAAATGTTTCCAGAAACTCGACATTGTATTGTTATTATTATTTTTGTGTTAGACGCGTCATCATAAATTAGATAATGCACTGGGCGTCTGGTGAGCATTTTTGATTTATGTCAGATTTCAGAAAATAAAGTTGGCAAAGGGGTGGGACAAGTAATATAAAAGCTTTTAGGTCGAGGCTTTTTATGGGGAAATTGCAGCATGTGGTATGTGGATGAAATCACTTTCGCCACAAAAGGGGGCTATTGACCTTAAGAGCCCATAAACAGCACAGTTACAGACGCATATTTTAAGACGGGGAGAAGTAGCAAAGCATTTCACAACATGTAACCTTGTGTCCATGGGGCTGGGCACAGCTGACCTTGCCTAACTTCTAACACAAAAGTCAATGGTCTTGCAGAGTGTAAAAAAAAAACTTAGAGGCGTGTCCAAGTGTGCAGAGAGAAAGCCCGAAACTGCAGCGATACAATGACCAACAAAATATGATTTATGAGATACAGTGAAGAAAATAGAACGCTGCCCTCTAATGGATAGCTGAGTCATCAGATAATACCCGCTGAACGTGTCCAACGGCTTCATTTTAAAGGGTTTTATTAGAATCCCATTTCTTCAGCCAATATCGCCATGAATGATCACCTTTCAGTTCATTTATTTTTTTATTACATTGCCAGTTTTTTTTTTTTTTTTTCCATTACACCAATTACTTAATTTAACACCGGAATTGAAGTGCGTTTGATCTCAGTAATTGCAACGGGCCTAAAGAGTCCTGTGGTTATTTATGTGTAGAAGAAACATATTAGAGTAAATTCAAACGCATAAATCTTGTTCTAAATTATATTCAGCGTTAGCAGCGGAGGAAGATTTTGACCTTGTAGCCAAAAAAAAAATTGTGTTCCCACTTTTTGCTCTTCACAAAAGTTGAAATAGTTTCTGATCCAAAAAAAATTAAAGTTTTCTTACATAAAGAAGATTAAATAGAGTTAGCTAGTGTTTTGGCTTGATTTCCTTCCCAATGAAGACAAACTGATTTTTTATTTTTTTCATATTGGTCAAATTTAAAATAATGTGACGTGCATATATTTTTTCTACTTTATTTTTAGGTTTTGTATGTTTTTTTTTCCCCACTGGAAATAATTTTGTTGCCAGAAAGATTTTGTTTTATAACGACATATTTTTTTTTTTCTCAGAGAAAAACCATGCAGTCATATTGTCACATTCAACAAATTATTATCTGCATTCCATTGAGGATTGTTTGTCAGATTAACATGTACAGATTGTGAATATTCTGAACGTGTTTGGGTTCAGCTTGTTTTTTCCTCCAGCTGCTTCGTGTCAGGGGTTCCTGTTTCTCCACCTATACGCTGCTAAAGTTGTGCTTTAATGAAATATTCAGCAGAGTAAAGAGCAGCATTTAATTAATGATTCAAAGTGTGTTTGCTAATATTACTGCAAAAAGTAAAGCAAGTTGTACAACTGGCATGGCCATAGGCTAAACTTTAAATGTCATGAGACGCATTAGCTCTTAAAATTCTAAGTAGGTTTTAACTTGTGTTAGCTTTTTTTCATGATTGCTTTTCTGAGATCCCAAACATCGTCTCTCAATTATCCGTTAAGCATGTGTCTTTTAGTAAGAGTAGAAAGAGTAGTTGGTAAAAGAAATATATATTAAAAAAAATATTCTAAGAGAATATCTTTATTTTTGTAGATATTGTGAGCAAAAAGCTGAGAAGTCAATAAAAAGTTACATTTGTGCCTTATATGCTTATTTTGTTTTCATACACCTCTAGAATGTACTGAATAGAGTTATTTTATCTTTTTAATCACATCGACTTGCTTCCCCTGATTTAAATGTTTCCCAACTTTGGCAAACTGAGTAGCAACAATCAATTCAATCAATCTACTGAATTTGACTGC